AAGTGGAGTGAGGGTACAACTGACTGACCTCATGTGGAGTGGAATTAGGGTACAATTGCTGTACGTTCTTGGAGTGGAGTAAGGGTACAACTGACTGACCTTCTGTGGAGTGGAGGAGGGTACAACTAACTGACCTTCTAGGAGTGGAGTAAGGGTACAACTGACTGACCTTCTGTGAAGTGGAGTGAGGGTACAACTGACTGACCTACTGTGGAGGAGTGAGGGTGCTGTTAACTGACCTTCTATGGGTGGGAGTAGCGGTACAACTGATCACCTTCTGAGGAGTGGAGTAAGGGTACGTCTGACTGACCTTTGTGGAGTGGAGTGAGGGTAAAACTGACGACCTCTGATGGAGTGGAGTAAGGGAACGAATGAGTGACCTTATGTGGAGTTGGAGAGAAGGTACATCTGACTGACCTTCTGTGAGGGAGTAAGGGTGCATCTGACTGACCTACTGTGAAGGGAGTAAGGGTACGACTGACTGACATTCTATGGAGTGGAGTAAGGGTACTACTGACTGACCTTCTTTGAGGAGTAAGGGTACAACTGATGTACGTTCTGGAGTGGAGTAAGGGTACAACTGACTGACCTTCTGGAGTGGAGTGAGGTACAACTAACTGACCTTCTGGAGTGGAATAAGGGTACAACTGACTGACCTCTGGGAGGAGTAAGGGTACAACTGACTGACCTTCTATGGAGTGGAATAAGGGTACACTGAGTGACCTTCTGTGGAGTGGAGTAAGGGTACAACTGACTGACCTTCTGAAGAGGAGTGAGGGTGCAACGACTGACCTTCTGCGGAGTGGAGGAGGTACTGTTAACTGACTTTCTTGGGGTGGTGTAAGGGTACAACTGACTTACTTTCTGTGGAGTGGAGTAAGGGTACAACTGACTGACCTTATGTGAGTGGAATAAGGGTACAACTGACTGAACTTGTGTGAACAGAGAAGGTTACACCTGACTGGACCTTCTGTAGAGTGGAGGTGTACAACTGACTGACTTTCGGAGTAGAGTGAGGGTACAACTGACTCACCTTCTATGGAGTGAGCAAGGGTACGACTGACTGACCTTCTATGGAGTGGAATAAGGTACAACTGACTGACCTTCTGTGGAATGGAGTTAGGGTTCAACTGACTGACCTTCTATGGAGAGGAGTAAGGGTACGACTGACTGACTTTCATGGAGGAATAAGGGCAACTGGCTGACCTTTCTGGGAGTGGAGTAGGATAAGTATCTTACCTCTATGGAATGTAGTGAGGGTACAACTGACTGACCTTCTGTGGAGGAGGAGGGTACAACTGACTGACCTACTGTAGAGTGGAGTAAGGGTACACTGACTGACCTTCGGAGTGAAGGGGATACTGTTAACTGACCTTCTGTGAGGTGAAGTAAGGGTCAACTGACTGACCTTCAATGGAGTGGAGTAAGGGTACGACTAACTGATCTATGGAGGAGTAAGGGTACAACTGATGTACGTTCTGTGGAGGGAGTAAGGGTACAACAAACTGACCTACTATGGAGGAATAAGGGTACAACTGACTGACCTTCTGTGGAGGAGGAGGGCATGATGACCTATGTGGAGTGGAGTAGGGTACAACTAACTGACCTTTTATGGAGTGGAGGAGGGTACAACTGTCTGACCTTCTATGGAGTGGAGGAGACTACAACTGACTGACCTTCATGGAGTGGAGTGAGGGTACAACTAACTTACCTTCTATGGAGTGAATTAGGTACAACTGACTGACTCTTCGTGGAGTGGAGGAGGGTACAGCTGACTGACCTTCTATGGAGGAGTAAGGATACGACTGACTGATCTCCTATGGAGTGGAATAAGGGTACACCTGACTGACCTTCTGTGGAGTGGAGTGATGGTAACTAACTGACCTTCTATGGAGGAGTAAGGGTACGACTGAATACCTTCTATGGAGTGAATTAGGGTACAACTGATGTACGTTCTGTGGAGTGGAGTAAGGGTACAACTGGCTGACCTTCTATGGAGTGGGTAGAGGTACAACTAACTTGCCTTCTATGGAGTGGAATTAGGGGTACAGCGGCTGACCTTCTGTGGAGTGGAGTAAGGGGTACAGCTGACTGACCTTCTATGGAGTGGAGTAAGGATACGACTGACTGATCTCCTATGGAGTGGAGTAAGGGTACAACTGACTGACCTTGTGTAGAGCAGAGTAAGGTTACACCTGACTGACCTTCTGTAGAGTGGAGTAAGGGTACAACTGACTGACCTTCTGTTGAGTGGAGTGAGGGTACAACTGACTGACCTTCTATGGAGTGGAGTAAGGGTACCTGTGACTGACCTTCTGTGGAGTGGAGTAAGGGTACAAGTGACTGACCTTCTGTGGTGTGGAGTAAGGGTACAACTGACTGACCTTCTGTGAAGTGGGTTGAGGGTACAACTGAGTGACCTACTGTGGAGTGGAGTGAGGGTGCTGTTAACTGACCTTCTATGGGGTGGAGTAAAGGTACAACTCACTCACCTTCTGTGGAGTGGAGTAAGGGTACGTCTGACTGACCTTTTGTGGAGTGGAGTGAGGGTACAACTGACTGACCTTCTATGGAGTGGAGTAAGGGTACAACTGACTGACCTTCTATGGAGTGGAATAAGGGTACAACTGAGTGACCTTCTGTGGAGTGGATTAAGGGTACAACTGACTGACCTTCTGAGGAGTGGAGTGAGGGTATAACTGACTGACCTTCTATGGAGTGGAATAAGGGTACAACTGAGTGACCTTCTGTGGAGTGGAGTAAGGGTACAACTGACTGACCTTCTGAGGAGTGGAGTGAGGGTGCAACTGACTGACCTTCTGCGGAGTGGAGTGAGGGTACGACTGACTGACTTTCTATGGAGTGGATTAAGGGTACAACTGACTGACCTTCTGTGGAGTGGAGTGATGGTACAACTGACTGACCTTCTATGGAGTGGAGTAAGGGTACGACTGACTGACCTTCTATGGAGTGGAGTAAGGGTACGACTGACTGACTTTCTATGGAGTGGAATAAGGGTACAACTGACTGACCTTCTATGGAGTGGAGTGAGGGTACAACTGACTGACCTTCTATGGAGTGGAGTAAGGGTACGACTGACAGACCTTCTATGGAGTGGAATAAGGCTACAACTGACTGACCTTCTGTGGAGTGGAGTGTGGATACAACTATCTTACCTTCTATGGAATGTAGTGAGCGTACAACTGACTGACCTTCTGTGGAGTGGAGTGAGGGTACAACTGACTCACCTTGTGTAGAGCAGAGTAAGGTTACACCTGACTGACCTTCTGTAGAGTGGAGTAAGGGTACAACTGACTCACCTTCTGTGGAGTGGAGTGAGGGTACAACTGACTGACCTCCATGGAGGAGGGTACGAATGACTGACCTTCTGTGGAGGAGTATAAAAAAATAACTGGACCTTCTGTGAGGGAGTAAGGGTGCAAGAACTGACTCACCTTCTGTGGAGTGGAGTAAGGGTACGTCTGACTGACCTTTTGTGGAGTGGAGTGAGGGTACAACTGACTGACTTTCCATGGAGTGGAGTAAGGGTACGAATGAGTGACCTTCTGTGGAGTTTAGTAAGGGTACGTCTAACTGACCTTCTATGGAGTGGAGTAAGGGTACAACTGATGTACGTTCTGTGGAGTGGAGTACATACAACTGACTGACCTTCTATGGAGTGGGAGTAAGGGTACGACTGACTGACCTTCTATGGAGTGGAGTAAGGGTACAACTAACTGACCTTCTATGGAGTGGAATAAGGTTACATCTGACTGACCATATATGGAGTGGAGTGAGGGTACAACTGATGTACGCTACGTTCTGTGGAGTGGAGTAAGGGTACGACTGACTGACCTTCTATGGAGTGGAGTAAGGGTACCTGTGACTGACCTTCTGTGGAGTGGAGTAAGGGTACAAGTGACTGACGTTCTGTGGAGTGGAGTAAGGGTACAACTGACTGATTTTCTGTGGAGTGGAGTAAGGGTACATCTGACTGACCTACTGTGAAGTGGAGTAAGGGTACAACTGACTGACCTTCTATGGAGTGGAGTAAGGGTACGTCTAACTGACCTTCTATGGAGTGGAGTAAGGGTACAACTGAACTGACCTTCTAGGGAGGAATAAGGGTACAACTGACTGACCTTCTGTGGAGTGGAGTAAGGGTACAACTAACTGACCTTCTATGGAGTGGAATAAGGGTACAACTGACTGACCTTCTTTGGAGTGGAGTAAGGGTACAACTAGCTAACCTTCTATGGAATGGAGTGAGGGTACAACTGAGTGAACGTCTGTGGAGTGGAGTAAGGGTACAACTAACTGACTTTCTATGGAGTGGAATGAGGGTACAACTGACTGACCTTCTATGGAGTGGAGTAAGGGTACAACTGACTGACCTTCTATGGATGGAGTAAGGGTACAACTAACTGACCTCTATGGAGGAATAAGGGTACATCTGACTGACCTTTATGGAGTGGAGTGAAGGTACAACTGATGTACGTTCTGTGGAGTGGAGTTAGGGTACAACTAACTGACTTTCTATGGAGTGGAGTGAGGGTACAACTGACTGACCTTCTATGGATTGGAGTAAGCATACAACTGACTGACCTTCTATGGAGTGGAGTAAGGGTACGACTGACTGACCTTCTATGGAGTGGAGTGAGGGTACAACCGACTGACCTTCTATGGAGTGGAGTAAGGGTACAACTAACTGACCTTCTATGGAGTGGAATAAGGGTACAACTGACTGGCCTTCTGTGGAGTGGTGTAAGGGTTCAACTGACTGACCTTCTATGGGGTGGAGTAAGGGTACGACTGTCTGATATCCTATGGAGTGGAATAAGGGTACAATTGACTGACATTCTGTGGAGTGGAGTGAGTGTACAACTGACTGACCTTCTGTGGAGTAGAGTAAGGGTACAACTGACTGACTGACCTTCTGTGGAGCAGAGTAAGAGTACAAGTGACTGGCCTTCATCTGTTTTGTGATATAAATGACTCACTTTCTACAGCAGGAACGTAGATATCATTATCAGTGATACATTCATTGGGAGTGGCCTTGACTTGGATTGCCCCCGCCGTTGGCGTTTGAAACGGTATTAACAACGTCCTCTGAATTTTCTGGAAAAGAGACACATGTGATTCCGACTATTTTTGATGATCATTTTGTCAATTGATAAACTTGTTTTCTTAATTTTATTTGTTTCTTTTATTCTCAAAGGCTTCAACTATCAATTAGAGGCTATAATTGATTACAATTGGCAACTCTTAAAAAATTAGGGCTGCACGAGTTAAGTCATTCTTACGTCTCTGTCTGTCCCTCTGTACGTGTGACTCACCTCTACCCAAATTTCACAATCGAATGGTTTCTTCGTGCAGAACATGTGTTGCTGAGCCCTCGTTGCAATCTGGAGTAAACAAGATTACATTCACTCAACATTACTGAATCGTCAGTATTCCAAACGAAAGGAATATTGAAAGACAAGAGAAACCTTGGATATTTTTATTATTATCCATTTAACATCATATTAAAGAAAAATATAATATTTCGCTTAAAATATTATACTATTCTTAACTATTAATTTAGTTTAATTTACTATGCAAATGATAATATAGATTCCCTGAAATTAACACTATATGTTAAGTGATAAATGTATGTATATTATGTATGTTGTATGTATACCATGTATGTACTTGTACTCTATATATACACATTATTTCTCTACTCAGTAGCGTGTGGCAATGCCCCTGTTTCATGTCACCACACGCTTAGATAAATGTGCCTGGCGACATCTGGAAGCTGCTAGTATACCACTTACCACATGTCGCCTGAGAGGTCAGAGTGAGGTCAGTTGACCCATATAGGAGTGTAATGGACTACCTGCGCTTGTAAGCGCACCTTGTATATTTCCGTTAATAAGAACCTACAGAACTCTACAGGTGTTTATGTTCGCCCCAGTAGTTAGAACCAAGTACCCAGAACACCTCCATGGCGCAGTGAGTATCAAGTGATCGATTAAGTGGAAATAAGTGCATTCATGTAAAATCAAGACGGGTTAAGAAACACTGGTCTAGACAATAGACTCGTGAGGAACAACTCTCGGAAATTTTTCTAGAGAAGAAAACTTTTCTTATCTCTAGAATATAAAAAGATGGAGGAATTACCATTTTCACTCTTTTGCTTTTCCTAGTTATTGGTAACAGTAAACAGGGAAACTAGGTTTGCACTCCTGACCCAGCTCAGTTGCTACCTGACCCAGCTCAGTTGCTACCTGACCCAGCTCAGTTACTACCTGACCCAGCTCGGAGAAGGTTGTGCCAGCAAGTGCTCCCGTTAGAGACCAAGAAAAATGGCCGCCTTGGATCGTTGTGTCTTGGGGGAAGAGGAGGGGAGTGTGGGGAAAGACGACCTCCTTGCCACGCTGTTAAGGCAGCTGGGGCAGTTGAGGAGTGAGGTTGACACTCTAAAGGGGTAAAATGAAGCCCTTAGGACGGAACTCCTTCAGGTAGGTGTCCTGCCTAGCAGGACACCTGCGAAGGAGGAGCAGGCGTGGAGAGTGGTTGTCTCCAAGGGGACTAGGGTCAGGCTCAGGAAAGCTGACCAGGGTGTGGAGTGTAGTAACCCTTATCAGGTGCTGCAGGAAGCTGGCGAGGAAGAGAAGAGGCAGGACGGTATGGAGCAAGGAGAGGAAAGGGCAGTTGTACAAACCCTGCCCACAGGTGAGGTCGTGGTAGTTGGGGACAGCCAGGTGAGGTTTGCAGATAGGGCTTTTTGTGCGAGAGATAGGAAACGTAGGACTAGGGTGTGTTTTCCTGGGGCTGGGATAGGGCATGTAGCTGAGAGGTTAGACAAGGTTTTGTCAGGGGTGGGTACCAATCCAGTAGTGTGTCTTAGTGTGGGAGGAAACGACATAGGTAAGGTAAGGAGTGAGGAACTTTTCAAGAGGTATAGGGAGGCGCTGGGGAAGATTAGAGATAGGGGAGGGATCCCGATAGTATGTGGTGTCTTGCCTAGAAGAGGGGTTGGTCGTGAATGGCTGTCCAGGGCAATTGCTATAAATTGCCAACTGGAAAAATATTGTGCAAACAATGGTTGGGCATTCATTGATAACTGGCAACGATTCTATGGCAACGACTACCTGTACTGTCGTGACGGAGTACACTTGTCTCGTGAGGGGGTAAAGACGTTGTCTGCATCCCTGGAGCGTGAAATTGTCACTCGGAAGGGGGGGTTTCGCCAGTAGAGAGAGGTCGGGTAAAGTGGGAGTCAAAAAACAAGCAGGTCCTGGGAAGTAAAATTAGTTGCTCAGGACAAGGGGTAAAACAGGACCAGGGAAGGGTAGGTTTAAATGTATACTATGCAAACAGTAGGAGCGTTAGAAATAAAATAGACTTGCTGAGAGCGGTTGTATGTACCGAGAATGTAGACGTCATAGCAATCACAGAAATTTGGATGAATCTGGCGAGCAAAAATTTTTTATCAGAGTACCACATAGAAGGGTACAACCTTTTTCACAAAGACAGGGAAGGTAGGAAGGAGGGAGGGGTCGCACTCTTCGTCAAGGATACATTAAAATGTTGTATTAATAATTCAATAAAGGGTGAAATAGGAACCGAGTCTGTGTGGGTAGAAATCACGGAAGGAAGAGAAAAACTAATTATGGGAGTGATTTACAGGCCCCCAAGTCTTGGCAAAGAAGCACCTCAGCCCATATGGCAGGAAATAAGTAGGGCAGCAAAATATAACAACCTATGCATTATGGGGGATTTCTACTTCAGAAATATTGACTGGGACAACATTGTAGGCGACTATGAATCTGAAGACTTCCTAGACGCAGTACAGGACAATTTTTTGAAACAACTAATTACAGAACCTACTAGAGGTGACAATATATTAGACCTAGTATTAACAAATAAAGAAAATATCATCAGAGATATCACAGTAGGGGAAGAACGAGGTAACAGTGATCACAGAGAAATCAGGTTCACCCTAAATTGGGAAACGAAAAACAATGACAATATGGTCAGAGTCCCAAACTTTCGGTTGGCGGATTATCAGGGGTTAAGAAGGTACCTAGGTGAGGTCACCTGGGAACAGTCACGTCAGTCCCCAGTAGGAAGGGGTGAGGTCATAGATGACACAACAATTGATCATGACTATAATATATTCACTAGTATACTACATAAAGCACAAGAACAAAATATACCATACAGAAAAATTAGGTCAAATAAGAATGAGCCAAGGTGGATGACCAGAAAACTTAAACATGACATAGGAATAAAGAAAGGAATATATAAGAAATTAAAGGGAGGGGAGGAGCAGCTCAGAAATAGGTATAATGAACTATCTAGGAATGTTAAGAAAAATGTAAGGAAAGCAAAGAGAGACTATGAAATCAAAATAGCAAGAGAATCCAAGGCGAATCCCAAGGGATTTTTCCAGGTATATAGGACAAAGGTCAAGGACAAAGTTGGGCCTTTAAAGTCTGGGAGGGGAGAAGTGATAAATGGCAGTAAAGAAATAAGCAAAGCATTGAACAGCTACTTCTTATCAGTTTTCACAGAAGAAATTTGCCATGAAATTCCAGAGGTGGAACTGATATTTAAGGGAAAGGAAGAAGAGAAATTAAAGAATATCACTATCAGAAAAGAGGATGTTCTTAAGAAGATAAATAAACTGAAGAAAACAAAATCCCCAGGGCCCTGATGAAATTTTTCCTCGAGTCTTGAAAGAGTGTAGGGAACAGATTAGCGCACCCCTTGTAAACTTATTTACAAAATCATTAGACACTGGAGTTGTGCCAGACTTGTGGAAACAGGCAAATGTAGTACCCATATTCAAAAAGGGAGACAGAGCATCAGCGTCAAATTACCGGCCGATCAGTTTGACCTCAGTAATGGGGAAATTTCTTGAATCAATTATAGCAGATAGCATCTGATCGCATCTAGAGAAAAGCAAATTAATCTACGACTCTCAACATGGGTTTACAAAGGGAAAATCTTGTCTAACAAATCTGCTAACGTTTTTTAGGAAAATCTTCGAGGTAGTAGATAATGACAAAAATTACGATGTTATTTACTTAGACTTTAGCAAAGCATTTGACAGAGTACGGCATCAGAGGCTTCTGAGAAAAATTAAGGCTCATGGTATCGAGGGGAAGTTTTAAATTGGATAAAATCATGGCTCACCGATAGAACGCAGAGGGTCAGCGTAGATGGTGATAAATCTGAGTGGGGCCGTGTAACCAGTGGGGTTCCCAGGGGTCAGTACTAGGCCCACTCTTGTTCATAATCTACATAAACGATCTAGATACTGGGATCAGCAGTGACATAAGCAAGTTTGCGGATGACACCAAAATAGGGCGGCAAATTAATTCAGGGCAGGATGCAAATGCATTACAGGAGGATCTAAATAAACTGCAGGGGTGGTCTGAAAAATGGCAAATGAAATTCAACACCAGCAAGTGCAGCGTACTTAATATTGGAAGAACAAATACTTATAATGTATACAGCCTTAACAACATCAACCTAGAGAAGTCGACTTGTGAAAGAGACCTAGGGGTACTTGTAAGCCCGGACCTACGGCCTAGAAAACAGTGCGTTAATGTTCGAAATAAGGCAAACAGAGTATTGGGTTTTATATCTAGAAGTGTAAGTAACAAGAGTGCAGAGGTCGTATTGCAACTATTTCTTGCGCTAGTCAGGCCACACCTCGATTATGCGGTTCAGTTCTGGTGCCCCTATTATAGAATGGACATAAATTCACTAGAGTCGGTGCAGCGAAGAATGACAAAAATGATTCCGGGACTTAGAAACCTTCCATATCAGGATAGGCTAAAGAAACTTAACTTGCATTCTCTAGAAAGACGAAGAGTGCGGGGAGATATGATAGAAGTATTCAAGTGGGTGAAAGGAATCAATAAAGGGGATATAGATAAAGTTCTTATAATATCCGAGCAGGATAGGACTCGGAGCAACGGATTCAAGTTGGATAAGTTTAGGTTTAGGAGGGAGATAGGAAGAAACTGGTTCACAAATAGGGTGGTGGACGAGTGGAAGAAGCTTAGCAACTTTGTAGTAAGTGCGGGAACTCTGGAAAGTTTCAAAAGGAGGCTAGATAGATTCATGGATGATAGAGAGTGGTAGTAATTCTCGACAGGAGCTGCCATGCACAGGCCAACCGGCCTATTGCAGACTCCTTATTTTCTTATGTTCTTATGTTCTAAAATAATACCCCAACATAACCTAACCTAACCTAACCTAACCTAACCTAATGCGTTTCCATCTTAGGACAAGCAGGTTAGGTTAGGTTAGGTACGCTAAATCCTTGGTCTCTGGATGGAAGTGTATGCTTTTTAGGTAGAAAACGCCCCCGTGGAAAATTCACCGAACTGATTATACGATTGTTTTCTAAATTAAAATTTGTTTTTACAAAAATATTCTAAAGTCAATGCCGGATTTTAATTTGTAACATTTATGAAACGTTTGTCATTTGGTGCTCGCGTAAACAAGTGAAGATGGCGCCATAGGCAGCGAGTGCTTGTATGTTGATTAGTGTTCAGGAAGAAATAACCGGAAAAACAAAAGTGGAAAAGTTGCATTTCATCCACTTTGATTAATACTAGTGATAAGAAAGAAGTGTTCTTCAATAGAAAATATTGCAAAGGTTGCATTTTCTCACGAGTCTGCCGTTTAGAGTTTTATAAAAATTAGTTAAGACATATGTTGAAATTGAGACAACGTCACAACCACCCACAACACCCCCCTCCCCCACAACCCATGAAACTCGCGACAGTCAACTACAGTAGGCATTGTAGACAACACATAGTAGCGGCAATCATTCTACACTAAAACATTGACCACAGCAAACCCCAAACAATCTTGACACTATCAACCAAGAGGACCGTGGCACCTGCCAATTCTACGGGACACACTGCACCCTCAACAAAATATCAGGTGAATAGCTAAGGCCAATCAAATTTGGGAACTCTTTAATTCTGCAAGAATCAGAGGTGTATAAAGCTGTGGCCTCGTTCCCGGTGGGGCTCAGCAGGAGCTGCTAGGACCCTCCTAGCTGAGGTCACGAGGCTCGTCAACAATTGTCTTGAGGGCCTAATACCGGACGACATCAAGCCCACATTTTACGGTTCAGCTTTGTGTACACTAAAACAAAAATGGCGGAATCAGGCCTATCGCACTCGGTAACATCTGCCGCCTCGTCGCCAGGACAGCTGTAGGGAGTGTCCGTTTGGGAGTCACCTTATTGCTAATATCAAACTAGCTAAGGTTCGGAGTCCCGAAGGTAATGGTCAAATTAGTCTTAGAAAACTCCTTGAACCAGACCAGGAGTGACAAAATGTTCAAAGCCGACCACCACCGTTTCCGCCGCTAATACCACTACGTGATTCAGCAAGGATCCAGCTTTCCTATTCGGTGAAAATGAAATTGTTTCAGTGGGAGGCATTCAGCAAAGGTATCTACTCAACCCACTGCTTTTTTGTCTAATGACAAAAGAATTTATCATTAAGTTCTTGGATACGGCACTCTGACGGGTTCGGCGGATTCGGTTTCAGAGGATCTCAGAGTTGTCAGACCCTAACCTAAGGTTCCCTGGTTCTAACCAAATCTAGAGTGTAGTGTAGTGCCAGTCACCAACCGAGGGGTTAGTATAAAATAAACTTTAAACAATATCCTGTATCCACACTGCTCTAAAGGACAGTCATATCTATGGAACCCACTGTCTTTCTCTTTTCAGTATAATCAAAGAGAGAGATACGATAGTGACTCAGTAAGAGAAAAACCCACTGAGAATGTTGTACTATGTGGATGAAGCTACACTATGTAAAACATGGAATAGCAAAAGAAAGTGAGCGAACTCACCCACTAAAGAATGTGAAAATGATGTGGGTGTGGTGTGAGCTAAAGTAAACGATGTCACACATTGTAAGTATGAACGCTATCGTGCAAATTTGACTTTCTGCCTCAATTACGCATAATTGCAGGGTCTCAATTGTTTCTCTTACTATTGACAACACAACATACATACAGTATATTGTTTCTCACTTTTGATCTCTTTTTCATTTTTGTATTTCTTTATGGTTCTTTAATAATAATAATAATAATAATAATAATAATAATAATAATAATAATAATAATAATAATAATAATAATAATAATAATACTATAATAATAATACTACTACTACTAATAATAATAATAATATTATTATTATTATTATTATAATTATTATTATTATTATTATTATTATTATTATTATTATTATTATTATAGTCTTGCTATTATTATAATTATTATTTTATTAATTTATTTTCAGTTTTGTATTTTGTATTATAAATTTTATTTACTATGAATTATTATTATTATTATTATTATTATTATTATTATTATTATTATTATTATTATTATTATTATTATTATTACAATTACATTTTCGCCCCCAGGCCCCAATGTGGGTCAGTGACCTCTGCCCGGGTGGGCTAATTCCCATAATAAAAAAAAAAAAAAAATATATATATATATATATATATATATATATATATATATATATATATATATATATATATATATATATATATATATATATATATATATATATATATATATATATATATATTTATATATATATTTATATATATACTGTATATATATATATATATATATATATATATATATATATATATATATATATATATATATATATAAATAATAATAATAATAATAATAATAATAATAATAAAACCACATATGTTTATCCATTTGTGCCTGGAGTCATGTGTGTAGAACGCCCTAAACATCATAATCTAATTGATTTGCGCGGCATTCTCAGCTGTTACACAGGGATCTTCATATGCACACATGTTATCTAAGATTGTGAATAAATACTACGCATATCACCTCAAATAGTAGGTCAATATGTAATAGGTATACAATTAAAGAGTTCTATTTCTTAAAGAATATCGTTTTTTCTGTACGGCAAACGTTTATTTGCCAAGTTTTCTAATTTCTTAGATAATTTAAGTGTTCGAAAAATTTCATTCAACTGTCATAATTATACAGTATAGAGGACACTCGGGAGCTGGAGGATACCAGTCTGTAGAGTTGATTAATTTTCTTTATATTTTGAAGGGTCATACTGTGGGTGAGACACTCGACATACTGGAAGAGAATAAACATAATAATAGTCTCCAGCACTGCCTGAGGAAGATTTCAGTAAAATATGTATAAAAGGATGCTGGGGGGTAATTTGAACAGCAACCCTTTAAAAGGTAGCGTTTATAGAAGCGAGAACCAGTGAGACAAAGTACTGTAATTGGAGATGGCTCCTGCGCTTGCGGGCATTGTGCCACCGAGAGCTATCAAGTACTGTCCGAGCAAAACAAAACCTTGGACATTAAACACAACCACAGAAAGTTTAAGAATGAACAAGCACAATCTCAAAATAGAACATGGAATGTGTGAACATTATATGAGGGTGGGGAGTTTGTAAATGTCTGTAGGGAAATGAAAAGTTTGCAGTGGGACATTCTGGGATCACGTGAAGTAAGACGAACACCTTCAAACAACATTAGTGCTGAAAAATTTTACTTCATATATTTACATGGTGAAAGGCATGCGAGAGGTGTTGGTATTCTTGTAAACCAGAAGTTAAGCAGTAGTGTAAATGGGTATTGGGCAGTGTCAGGTAGAGTTTTGTTAGGCAGGTTTAATACAGGTGTATGCACCAACAAATGATAGCGAGGATGAAGTTTTAGAAAATTATATGTCGATTTAAAGAAGGCTAAGGGCACTGAAGTTTAATGAATGTCTGATTATAATGAGCGATTTTAACAAAAGGTTGAACAGGGAAAGAAACGCCAGAAGTAGGACCACATGAGTGGGTAAGAGAAATGAACGAGGATAAAAATTAAATGATTTTTGTAAATAAAACAGATGATAACTGCAAGTACATACATGGTTTAAAAATCACCTCAGGCATCTTTATACCAAATATTCGAGACACTAAATATGTAAATACAAAACTGTGATTGACTATAAAGGCTGTGACTTACCACAAAGGAGTTTTTCTCCTCGTTGGTGTTACCGCAGACCATCCTGACCTTGATGACGTCAGAACCGGGGATCATGAGAGTATAGGGGCTAGAGCAAGATGCCGATTGGTTTTCGTAGAACTCGATACGTGCCATCCCGCTTTTGGAGGTGGCGAAGAGTATCGCATAATGTTCCTTCAACTTCTGTGGCACCAATTAGGCCACCCATCACGCACCACAGGGAAAAACAAAAAATGAAAAATTTTAAATTTTCATGATATTGTTCTTACCCCCAGATAAAAATATAAATTAGTTGTATAGATGACAAGTTTTAAATAAAATAATTCAATCAGATGACAAACTGGGGCCTTATAAAGATAAAGAAAGGGCGGTGAGCTGGAACGTTCTCATAAAGAAATAAACCAATTAATGTGATAAAAGCACTGACCACAAGTATAGAAATCAATCGAGATTAACATGATCACAACCAACATGTCCTAATGACACCAATCTCAGGGGAGCAATATTAACGCTAAGATCCCAACACTCAGTTGATTTAATACTATCATAAACACGCTTTAACTATAGCTAAATCTATAATCCAGTTGTATTTATTTACTCTATCATGACAGTTTTCAAACTTTGGTGTAAGTAGCAAGCAATTACAGAGACTCATTTCAACCCATAAACTAGCTGTAACTTGTAACTTTGACATGAACATGTAACTGGTTCATGTTGGCAATAAATAACACATTTTGTAGAAAACTCTAGGCATATCTGTTTTTGAGATTTACGATATCTCTGCAGTAAGGACCCGTTCAGAGATTGCCGACATTATGGAAGATAGTACAAGGGTAAACAGTACTGATCTCTGACCTCAGATCATTATGCAGTACTCGTACATTTCGAAAAATCACAGTCAGAGTTTTCACCAGTGGTATTCCCTAATTGTTGTTGTCACTATAATATAATAATGAAATTGTGAACACGCAGTAACAGTGTCATATATTCACACGCTTTAGCTTCACTCAGCAATAGTCCTTAATAATTTGTACAATTATTGTTGTTGTTGAGAGGTCCATACCAATGATGCAGCAGCCCGAGCTCCATGATGTAATATTCGTCCATAATAATACCATCAAGATTTCTAAGGAACGACCACATTTGAGGCCAGGAATGAAATAACAAACATGACATGAACTTGACAAAAATCACCATTGAAATCGAATGAAAATATTAGTATTAAAACCATCTTATGTAAGGGAAATTTAGACTGAAGCAAATATCATTGTATGTATATAATTTACAAAACTAGTATACTTTTTCTTAAACTGTAAACATTTATTTTCTTATCCTTTTCGTTATTAATTTTAGATTTTTTTCGTTTGACAAATGTTCATAGCTACAATCACCTTTCAAAGACACTCTAGAGCTAATCGAAGAGCTCATTTGTAGTAAACATCCTCATTCCGGATCGCTGAACCAAATAGCTGGATTCCCTAGAGTAACAGATTGCCTTAAAAAGTCCAAAGTCCAAATCAATCAGGAACTCAAAATCATTGGTGCTCCAGGTTCCCAGAGGTTTTTACACCACTGGAATAGGGCAATATTAGTGGCTCGAGGTCCTGCACTTCGCCTCCTTCCGGTTTACTTTGAGCTTGCCGCCCTTCCCGCTCCAGCTGCACTCTGGGAGAGATAGGTTAGCGCCACACCAGCTGCTTAACATCATTTAAAGGCAGCAGTCGGGCCTGTAGATCTGTGGTCCCCTATGGGAAGCTCGCGGTGGTCAGATTTCTCTTGATGCTGTAATTATAGCTTCATGATGTATCTCACGCCAATCCCCAGAGATCCCATTGACGAAAATGTTGCTTCTGTATTTGTCAGCCTTCTTGTTGCTGCAGATGCACATGTAAACAATGTGGATAAGGGTTATAAGACGAAGATATATTCCAACACATAATAGGGCCTGGGGATCGAGGCAAGCTCTTAGGTGGGAGTTCAGTGTGACCAGTAGGAAGTCCCTTTCCTCCACGATGTGCTTGTCCCTGTAGTTTTGCTTACCGTCCTTTGGAGACGTTGGTCTGGTTGCTTAGAACTCGATGGTCCTCACTGAGTAGTTGTCCTACTTCAATTCTGGATGTTAACTCCTGCAACAATTCAAAGGTGTCCTGAAACGATCACCCCCAACCAGTTCGTTGGATGCCATATACAAGGAAAACTTTGCTGGAAATGTGATCTGGGAGGCTTTACGGGCATCAATTTCTGCTAGTCTGACCGGAGAGTCATCTAGGGATTGGTTCATGGCTTTTGTGACTTAAGGCAAGTATCAGTACAAATAAAAATTGAAAATATTATTTTATTAAGTTTCTGCAAAATATATTTGCCATGTCATGTCCATTTCCATTTCTGATTGTGTATGGATGAAAAAATAGTGCAAGTGGTGCATTAATGACAAAATGACAGAGTATTACAATTTATATAAAAGTTTGAACTACTTTACATAGTTTCCTTGCTACTGACCCTTACTGCTCTAATTACACTAAAAATTATAACACTAGTTGACAAGGGTTCGGTAACATGGATCAAATACGCTGCACTTTGTTAATTTTGGAGTGCTGATTTCAAATATGGCAATAAAAAATGTCAGTCACGTAAAATTTTTATGATATATGTATATATGTAGTGTAGGAATATAAGATACGTACTTGTGTTGGTAGGGATATATTAAATGCAAGGTTAGCAATACTGAACAACAAGTGGGAGGAAATGCTGCCCCTAACCTCACTCTACAGTATGCAGGATTCCCTCTGTGTGTGTACTGATGTAGATGGACTGATTTCAGAGTTGGGAGAAAAACATGACCCAAAGGAATGACGGATTTTCATAGATTCCTCCAAGTTTAGTTTGAAAGCAGTATTGTTGCATAATGGGAACCAGAGCCCTCAGTTCCAGTGGCGCATTCTATAGGTTTGAAGGAAACGTATGATAGTATGGAGAACATACTGACCGCTATTAAATACAAGGAGTATACTGTAGATGGCAGATGTGCAGCGATTTGAAGGTGATAGCCCTTCGACTCGGCTTTCAAGGAGGGTTCACGAAATATTGCTGTTTTCTGTGTTTATGGGACAGCAGAGCAACAGAAAAACACTACAACAGAAAGGACTGGCCAAAGAGAGAAGAGTTTGTTCCAGGAAAAGCAACGTTAAATATACTCCCATGGTAGACCCAAACGATGTACTTCTACCTCCTTTACACATCAAGCTGGGACTAATGAAGAATTTTGTGAAGGCTATGGACAAACAAGGTGATGAGTTTGTTTATTTGAGGGGGAAATTCCCATAGCTCAGTGATGCTAAAGTCAAAGAGGGTATCTTTGTTGGCCCACAGATAAGGAAATAACTTCGTGATGACGACTTTGAAAACAAACTGAATGAAAATGAGCAAGTTGCATGGAAATCCTTCACACCTGTAGTCAAGGGGTTTCTTGGAAACAAGAAGGAAGAAAACTATTGCCACCTTGTAGAGGAACTCTTAAAAAAACTACAAAAGCTTTGGATGCAGGATGTTCCTGAAAGTCCACCTCCTACACTCCTACACTCGCACGGTTAGTGATGGACAGGGAGAGCGATTTCATCAGGACATTCGACGTATGGAGGAAAGGTACCAGGGTAGATGAGATCCTGCCATGATGAGGGAGTATTGCTGATTTTTACAATCGGAGGACAATACAACACAAAAGGATGAAATAAAATAACAAATGCCTATACAGTGGCTAATTTAATACTTTTTGTGTCTTCTTATGATTGTTTTCATTCTTTATTGAATTCTAGTGTGATGACCTGGAAAAAAGTAACAGGAATAACAGGAAAAATAGTATTTTTCAGTTTTTGTAATTGTAAGATTTATTTTTTGCGTAACAAATAAACTGTACGTGGCAGACAATTTTTATTGCCAGATTTGAAATCAGCACCTCAAAAGTACCAAAAGGAAGCTGCTCTGGCCATGTTCCGGATTTGTTTTAAAATTTGTTGCCTTGTGTTTATCACTTTTACCTATTTCATATTGTGATATCACATATCTCTGAAGACTAAACTAATAAAAAGTTGTTCCATCCTGGTAGGTTAGGTTAGGTTAGGTGAGGTTAGGTTAGGTTAGGTTAGGTAAACATTAGAATCATGTGAAGTTTATTTGACAAATATTGCTTCACCAGCATGAGTAGGCTACACCTACCTGAACCGGGAGCCACGAATTACCCAAAAGTACCCAAAAGTACCCAAATGTACCCAAAAGTATAGCAAATAAGGGTAAAATCTTAACGAATATCTGTTATACATACACAAAACATGTTTAATAATATTTTTAGTGTAATTTTGTAAAAATAATTTGCAAGATGAAATAATAAACAGCGAAAAACTTTCAGTATTGGCGAACGCTAAATTCCAAAGAGTTCGTGAACAAGGGAGATAACTAAGATCCTTCGTGATGCACTTCGCGAACCTAACCTAACCTAACCTAACCTAACCTAACGAAAAGTAAACCCTACGGCTATGTTAAATACCCCAAAGTAACAGAAACATCGGTAATTATATCTAAATTTTGGATAGGTGACTCTTTGGAATTTAGCTTTTTTCGCTGTTTATTATTTCATTATTTCATTATTTTGACTACATTTCAATGAAAACATTAATTATCAAGTTTTATTGATGTAAAACATATATTCGTTAAAAGTTTACCCTTATTTAATATACTTTTGGGTACTTTTGGGTACATTTGGGTACTTTTGGGTAATTCGTTGGACCGACCTGAACCGTAAGCAACATTACAGCAAATATATCACTCAGCCGAGCCTAGATTATCTTCCGGGGCATATTTTGGCCTAGGATACCCGGGGTATAAAGTGGCCAGGGGGTATAATTTGGCCTGCTACAGAGGGTTTGATCGGACGTAATCGCGTAGTGCCCTTCCGAACAAAATCTCCACAGGGAACTTATTAATGTGAGTTAGAGGAGTTGTTTCAGTGTTGCCCGTGCTGCGAGGTAGTTGTCCAGGGAACCGTCACGGTTTGTGCAATCAGCAGTGGTGCGTTTGGCTGGACTTGACGCCGAGTTCGGTCCATCCCTTTGGACTGCGCATAATAGGCAAAGCTGAGGCGGTGAGAGAAATTCATGGAAGTCTTTGGAGACAAAGGTTGGTCCTCCGTC